TTTCTATCCCTGAGGCCATATTGCAATTACCAATTTGTACTGTCTCATCCCTTCCCCTCTCCTTCATCCCCACCCCCTCCCAACTAGCAACCCTCAGTTCTTCCTCTGTGTCTCTGAGACTATCTCCATCCACTTCTCCCATCCATTCAGTTCCTTAGCATCCACGTATAAGTGAGATCATATGATATTTGTCTTTCTCTGACTGACTTATTTCCCTTAGCATAATGTTCTCTAGTTCCATCCATATTGTTGCAAAGGGTACTATTTCCTTCTTCTTCATAGCTGAATAATACTCCAAAATGCCCATCGGTAGATGACTGGATTAAGAAACTTTGGTACATTTACTGAGGTTTTCTTTATAAGACTAATTTGGAATTAGTTTAGCGATGAATCAGGCTAAATGCACTTTGCTACTATTTCCCAAAGTGTAAAAGCTGCTAATTTTTTTATAGCTAAAAGGCTTTTGCAATCCCTGTTTTAATTGGTTAAAAATTTTTCTGAACTATGTCGCTAGAACTTACGGCCTGCCTTATGCAGCCAGGGACAGAAGATCTATTTCCCCACAAATGAAGATCTTACAGTGCCTCGGAATAATGACTCAATATCAATTTTATTTTCCAGTACTGAAAACAAAAATACCTAAATTAACATAGGCTATTGAGTGAAAGTGTACACAGACTCAGACACAATCTAGAAGTTCTTAGTTACTGGTTTTAAAAATCCTGGCTAGGCTCTTATTTTCTTGTCATTTGTAATTTCGTCTAAATGAAGAAGCCTAAAGATAAAGGGAAACTCCATTTGCTGAGTGTTTTACTAAAGTGAATTCTACGTAGAAGTTTTTTGTTTTTTTTTAAATATTTTATTCTATTTACTCCTAATAACTTTTTCTTTACATTATAACTCCCGAATAATGGTTCTTCCAAGCATAATTATGAGCAGAAATTTAATTATAAGGAATTAGGGATGTTATTAAAATAGTGGCCATTTTTTCATAAAATTGCAGTTCAGTCATGAATAGTAATGAAAAATATACCATTTACAGAAAGAAAGCAGGTATTTCTTCATTACAAAATTAATGAAATAGAAATAAATACTATGATAATATTAGCCTTATTTCCAATATTTATCAACCTACATGACTTCCAGTTAGCTTTGAAACTCAAAGTTGAATGACGACCCTTCAGGAGAGTAATGAGCATACACAAATTAATATTAACAATAACTCCATTCATTAGTTAAAAACTTTATTCAAGTCACCTCCAGGCTAGTTGCAGGAACTTCACACAAGCTTTCTGAATTTAAAATTATAAACACAGAATGCCTAAATTCAAATTGTATCATAATTTTTAGATTAAAAATGTTTAAATAGGAAGATATTAAGAAAATCAAATCAAAATTCAATATAAATTATAAGAACATGTGCAATTCAAGCAATTGGGAATTAATCTGAACAAGCCCTCAGATTTCGTTTCCAGTTTCATTATTTGCTAATAGAAGTGTCGACACATGTCATATGTAAGAAAAATCACTTTTAAAGTAAAATGATCTGTTGCCTGCTGAAAGTAAACAATGGTGATGATTGCACAACCTTGTAAATGTACTAAAAAACACTAAATTTCACACTGTAAAAAAATACATTATACCTCAAAATATAGTTCTGAAAAATTGGAAAAAAATTATCTGTTGCCTAAAACAGTCAAATATTAACATAATCAACTCATATTTTCATAGTTGTAAAAAAGTAAGCCTCTTTCTTGCCTTATGAATTCCAAATTTTTCCCACGTTGTATATCTGTAAGGAACACCTTTAAAAGCTGTGGAAGTCAGTGTTAATTTTTATGATGGCTCACCATGTTGAGATGCACATAATTTTAATCTATCAAGCACATATTTTAGAACATTATAATGAAAAGAATGAATCACATATAAGGATCAACTTCAAACAGCAGTGTTCTCAAAAAAAGATTTTTCCTTGACAAACCACAAGGCAGAATTTTTAGAGCAATGAGTTAAGGAACTTACTTTATAACTGTTCCTTTGGTGCCCCCTGCTGTTGTCAGCATGACTCTTGTAGTTAAACTTACTCGAAGATCATCTTGATCCAAACCCAATAATTCAGCACAATACTCCAATGACTGAGTAGATTTATTCTTCAGGTTACAACCACCTAATGAAAATATATTTTAATTTGAGGTTAAACATTACATAAACCAGATTTTCAAGATCTATTTCTTAGAAGTATACTTCAGTTATATAAAACTATGGAATAGACAAGGTTTATGAAAGACTTTGAATTTCACCGCCCTTGTCAGACACTCATACTGCTGAGGTCAACAGGAAACCCTCACTCAGCGTCGTCCAAGACATAATCCCTTCAGCCCATCAACATTAACCTATCACTGTTTCATTTTTTATGACCCTGAAAGTGAAAAATAATAATGATGAATTATAATCCTTGTTAATATATTAAATCTCTGGAGAAATATAGTGCTTTACCATTAAAATTCATATGACTCCAGCAAACTGGATATCCGCATGCAAAAGAATGAAATTGGACCCCTACTTCACACCATTCACAAAGATGAACTCAAAATGAATCAAAGACCTAAATGTAAGAGCTAAAACAATTAAACTCTGAGTAGAATACACAGGATAAATCTTCATGATTTTGTAGTAGGTAATGGTTTCTTAGATATGGCACCTAAAGCACAAGCAACAACAAAAGACGATAGACTGAAGTTCATCGAAAAGAAAAACTTTTATGTTTCAAAAAAGTGTCCAGGAATTGAAGACAACTCACAGAATGAGAGAAAATATTTGCAAATTATGTATCTGATAAGGAACTTGTATCTAGAATATATTTAAAAAACACAATCCAATTAATAAATGGGCAAAGGTTTTGAACAGACATTTCTCCAGAAAAGATACACAAACGGCCAATAAAGACATGAAAAGTTGTTCAACATCATGACCTATCAGGAAAATGCGAATGAAAGCCACAGTGAAGTAAACACTTCACACCCTCCAGGATGGCTATACTCTGATAAAAAGACAGTACTGGTGAGGATGTGGAGAGACAGGAAGTTTCATACACTGTTAATGAGAATGTAAGATGGTACAGCTACTTTGAAGAAACAGTTTGACAGTTCCTCAAAAGGTTAATCATAGTTACCATTCCACTTTTAGGCATATACCCAAGAAAAATAAAAACACATGTCCACACAAAAACTGTACACAGATGTTCATAGAAGCATTACTCCTAATAGCTAAAGGTGGAAACCCGAATGCTCATTAAATGATTGAAAGATAAACAAAATGCAGTACATCCACACAATGGAATATTACTCAACAATAAAAAATAAGGACACAAAAATAAAGTCACAAAAGACCACATATTGTATGATTCCATATATATAAAATGAGATAATAGGCAAATTTATACAAACAGAAAGTAAAACAGTGGTTGCCTAAGGCGGAGGGATTTGTGAGGGAATGGTTGGGGTAACTGCTGAAGGATGTGGAGCTCTTTTTCAGGGATATGACAATGTTTTGAAACTGATTATGTTTTGGTTGAACACTGAGGATACTAAAAACCACTGAGTTATACACTTTAAATGGGTGAACTCTATGGTATGAATTATATTTCAATAAAACTACTACAAAAAACAAGGGGAAAATGCTTAAAAGACTAATTAAACCTTTACGAAAATAAGCTTACTACTACTCTAAAAAATTGACCACCAATAATTCTTTAATTCATTTAAAGACTTCTCTTTTACTATTTTGCAAAGTTTCTTACACACTTCCAGAAATCATGTAAAGCTAACATAAGAAAACATTTACTTTAAAAGTTTTAAAAATGTAAAATACTGTAAAATAATGTAAGATTTTCATGTTAGTCCCTTTCCAAAAAAGAACTTTGAATATTTTAAAACTCATTTGTTATAATAACATATACTTTTGTTTGTGAAACTTTAAAAACATAGGCAGTCCCCGTAGGTATTTTTTGTATTTCCATCATGCAAAAACTTTTCAGTAACAGTAAGTCTTCTAAACAGAAGAAATTTTCTGATAAAAAATTACAAAAATGTACAGAGCTTTTTCAGATTGTGAGGACATGCCGAAATAGAGTTCTCTAGTGTGTGTGTGTGTGTGGGGGGAGATCAATTATAATTAGGAAGAAACCATTTGGATCTTTTGATCCAAACCATTTGGATCACAGGAAGGGTCACAGGAAGGATGAAGAGTGACATAATAAAACCTTAGGTATTAAAATAAAATAATCTAGTTTATTAATTCTCTTGATTCACTGCCTCATTCCAATCTTCTCTGCTTTCTGCTCATTTTTCCTTTAACAGAAGAAAGTTACAGAAGAAAAATAGAAGACAATGTAAATATGTGTTATGTGCCTTTTGATCATTTAAGTGCTTTTCAACTAACTAGATCACGCCACATTTATGATCTTCCACATACACCTGTACGTTCTACCCCAGGGTAATAACATGAGGTGTGACAATGACACTTAGCACTTCTAACAACTCTTCCAATGAGTGCATTAAATATTCTAAGCCTATTCTCTGTTACTTAGAACTCCCACATGCTCCTTTGGCATAATAATGCTATACAGCAAACGAAATGCACTTTAACATTCATCACATTTTCAAAATAAATTTTATGTTTCGGGTTTTTTTGTTGTTGTTTTTTTAGCTGAGCCATCCTGCCACCTGTTCGCAACTCAGCAGCAGCTCATCTCGGGCCAGGACTCGAACCGCTGTTGCTCAGAGCTCGCACTCTTGAGCGAGCTCTTGACCAACTGAGCCACTCGGCCAGCCCTCAAAATAAATTTTAAAATCTCTCAAAAAAAAAACTAATAAAAAAAATTTAATGCACACTAAGACCATACCTGATTTTGCTTTCTTTTTTCATTTTAAACTGGGCATAATCTTTATTTTTATTTTACTTATTCATTAAAAATACTTATAGTGATAACTATGTGCCACACATAAGTACTCACATTGTTTTACAAATATTTAACGCATTTAGTCCCCTTTATAACATGAGGTAGGGACTGTTGTTATCCCCAGTTTACAGGTAAGAAAACTGAGACATGGAGAGGTTAAGTTCCTGGCTCAAGGTCACACAGGCAGTTAATACATGGTAAACAGTTTGGCCCAAGAGCATGTGCTATTAAACACTATGTTGCATCTGATGTTACTGACTTCACAGCATCACAGGACATTAAATCTGAAAGTCATTAAGACTGTATATTTCAATCTGCTCATTCACAGATCAGGACACTCGGGGAAGGTTCAATAACTGGGGGCAATGAAGGACAATTATCGCAAGTATTCAAGTCAGTCAGACATGGGTAAAACCCGGCTCTCACATCTACAACTACATTAATAACCATTTTACTTAACTTATGCACAGGTTTCACATCTATAAAATGAAGATAATATTCCTACTTCATTATCTTTATGAAGTTTAGATTACGATTATGATGTCTATGGTGAAGTACAGTATATAAAAGGGTCTTGCAAGTTGCTGACACATTTTTTTTTT